ACGAAAGAAGAAAAAGAAGAGATGGAAAGACGTGCCAGTGGACGTTAATTTTAGTAACTCCTTTTACGATGGACGACGAGAAGCCATCAGCAATACTGCCTTTTTCAAATTACGAGCAAATATAAAGTACGATATATAAATATAATATATAATGCGTGTATATTGTGTATAAAAGAACACTTAAATAACGCGTGATACGCCGTTTAAGTGAACGAAACGCCAAGACATAGCCAAAGAAGAAGAAAGGAAACAAATGATGGCAGTTGATGGAGGACGGAAGTGAGCAGCATTGTCAAAAGAGAAGAATGGAAAAAAGCCGGGAATATATTCGATGAATGAAGGTATATACATTCGTCTGAAAATCTTGCGAGAAGCCAAGAGGAAGCACATTTTCGTTGTTAAATGATAGATAGTTACAAGGATTTCAACACTTTTTATATAACGATAACAGCAACAATAATAATAATAAATTATCATCGATGGCTAGATTAGCTCTTATTTGAGTACCAATTTTCGTGAACAACCGTTTTCACGGGGCGTCGAGGTCGGCGTTTCCCGCGTTTTTAAAAACGCGAGGAAAGACAAGAGAGTGGGGAAAGTTCGCTTTCTTCAAAGCGAGAAAAAGAGATCGAACAACCGATTTTTCGACCAGGAGCGATCCTTGTTCTTGCAACGCGTTTCGAGCCTCGTGGGTACAACAACCCTACTCCCCCGCCCCTCCTTGTCAATCGTCATCGTCATCAATACGACACGTTCACGAGAGAAAGAATCGTTTTCATAAATTTAAAAAAAAGAAGGAGAGACGAACGAAGAGATGCTACGAAAGAAGCCCTCGCCGTACGAAGAGGATTTTCATAAGAAAAGTCAGCGAAGTCATTCTTCGAGGATGGATGCGACGCGAAAAATCCGAACACGCGTCGAAGAGTGAGAAGAATCAGAATCGGAGGAAAAATTCGTGGATGAAATATAGCTGTTCTTGGAACGGTTCTTTGAAAGTCGAACATTCCGGAGGCATTCGCGCTATCCATTAAGTAGTTAATCAAGTTTAGAAAAAAGAGAGAGAGAGAGAGAGAGAGAGAGAAAAGTAAAACAACCGTGCGACGTAGTGTGTTTATTCAGAAACTGCAGTTACGGAATATCGTCTGATGAATGTTTCTCATACA